GAAATAAAGATAGGTTCTGACAGCAAGCTTTGCATTGCAGGAGAAATTAACTCCTTCATGAACTGTCATGAATGAGTTACGTTTTGACAGCTCGACTGATTGGCTAGAGCTGGTCATATGGTACAGGATGCTGTGATTGGCTCCATGAATCGTGACAGCTGTGGACCAATCACAGCTCACTAGGAAGAGAAGCAGAGCTGTTATGAGCTGTTAACATTGATTCATAACAGCTTTGCTTACATAGTGATCACGTGATCGCATAGTGATCACGTGATCGCCAGGTCCCATTCACCAGGATCTTCATTCCACTGTGTCCACAGCAGCCGTGGGGGGGCGCAGTGCACCCTTGTGTTAGTACAGCCAGAGCGATGTATGGGTACGTCGCTTTGCCTGCAGCTGCTGCCCAGCCGCAGTACATTGCGGGCGGGAAGTAGTTAATTGCCATTTTAAGCGGTGTGTTGCCTTGTGCACTTGTACCAAGGCCAAACATTTCAGGGTATGTAAATCTTTGATCAGGACTATTTGGGTGATTTCTGTTATTAGGATTCAAAAAGGCACCAAACAACTATATGATAATAAATGGCTTCATATGAGCACTATCCTTAAATAAATGTTTTTTTTGGCATGATCAGTCATATTTTCAATATAAATGCCATGATTTCTGCCAGGGTATGCAAATTTATGAGCGCAACTGTATATCGACAATATTGAATCACTGTCATATGAGATGGTCCCCCCTCCACTAATGAACCCTTTGTAAAATACTATAACAGCCTGGTACTTTAATTTAAAGATGTGTAGAACCCCATCTCATTGTTTTTTCTTGATTTGGAATTGTTCCACACTAATAGTTGGATGACATCTAGATCCCATTTTGGATCGTCATCTGGGAACTCCTACTTGCATCACCAAAGTTGGCACCATCCCAAATGGATTAAAATTATCCCCAATGTGCAGGAAGAACTGTACCATTGATGTGGATCTTTCCCTACAGGAGCAAGTGCTGATAAGCAGGTTTCTTGATGAGGGATATAATCCTGACCTTATCAATAATGTGTACAAGAGGGCACCCAACTTTAAAAAACAGAATTTCCCCTAGCAAATTGCAATCCCCAACTACAACTTTTTCCCATCCCCTAGCTAATTTTTGCAATTTCACTGGGATGTTCCACTGCAGAAGAAAAAGGTGTAAGATGTGCAAATTCTTTCAACAGTGACAAAAGATGTTTAAGGACTAAGTGGGTAAAATTTCTAACAGAGCTGTATTCACCTGTGTTATTGACTGTGCTCTACTGCCTTCCCCCAGCCCCTGTGGCCTCTTATATGTGTGTGGCATGGTTTGAACTATGAGGGCCTCATTGAGAAGGGCATTGTAGACCACAGCACAGACACTTTGGGGGAGATTTGCTAAAACATGTGTACACAGAATCTGGTGTACCTGTGCATAATAACCAGTCAGCTTTTAACTTCAACTTGTTCATACATTTCCCCTCTTTCCTCTTTGTTCCTGTCCAGTGTAAAAAAAAACCAAAAAAAAAAACCCTCTCTTCCCTCAGGGAAACAAAGGGGAAGGAGCCCCTGAAATGTTGCAGCCTTCCCACTAACCTGATGCCGCTCAGTCTCCTGTCAGTGCACAAGATACAGACATAGAAGCCTAAAGCCATGCATCTTCCTGGCAGGTCCTACTTACATTAACAGATGCTGCCTGATTAGGCAAACAGAACTGCTTCTCTGTCTATGCCTTTCTATCACTCATTGCCTCTAGAGCTGTATCAGAGCTTTTTATATGTAAAATGCCTGTGCCTTGCTACTCTTTCTGTTGCATAGATTTAAAACTAGATATTTTTCACTAGCTGATGGCCAAATGGTACAAACAAACTTTTTAGTATGTTCTGCAATAGGAAGGTAAAACATGTAAATCCGTTTTGTATCCGTTTCAAAATATATTTTTTGGTCTGTTTACTTCAATCAAAATAAGCTGTGGCTATTGCTTCACGCAGTCACTAGAATCCGTTTCTGCCTGCCTGATCTTCATTGTCTGCTGCCTGTCCTGACCAGCCACCTATTTTGAATATTTTACATTATGTTTGTATATACTATGTTTGTTCTGCCTGAAATTGTCTGTAACCCCTCAAGGATACAGTGAGTTCACAGCACACCATGACAGTATATTCATCTCTATGGGTTGATTTGGTTTCTGATTTAATAAGTGATTATTTATACACTTATTAGTGCATATTTCTCTTCATTAAAACCTATTTATTCCAATACCCATGCTACATCAACAATGCTCACTATGTGCAGCAGTGCATTGCACAACAGCTTTTCACTTGAATGGCACCTAGTTGTGACTTTTGCCAAATATTCATTGGTGTTTAATCATTTACTGTATATTAAAGCCTTAAGGATTTTTACCTTAATGCATTTTTTCCAATAAGGTAAAAACCCTTCTGTGCTGCAGTATTTCACCCAGCAATTCTATCGCACAGAGCAAATAAGTATAACATGTTTGTTTTAAAAAGAAAAGTTTACAATTACTTTAAAATGCATTAAACAAAAAGATTTATCTGCAGAGAATGTTTAGTAAATGTTACATTCACTGCGTTTATTAATATGACCCTGGTCTTCTGAAATCCAAGCAATATGGCAGTCTGTCAGGCTACTTAGTAAAGACAAATCAGGTGTTCTCCACTATGGTCACTACACAAACCTCAGCACTGCAGTAAGTAAATGGATGTGACTTCTAATACAATCAGTTTAAAGGACTGAAACAATGAGTGGTTTGACCATCAGCATATTGCACCACATTCCTAACAAAATGTTACAAAGGAGTGTGAATTAAGAGATTTTGAAGGTGCATAACAATAATCCAACTAATTTTTAAAAAATAATTTTTACCAATTTATAACAATAAAATTACATTTGGTACAAGTAGTTACAACGAACTTGACAATCACACCAAGCTTGACTGTTTCCTGCGGTGCACAGATGATGCTTTCCTACATGATTCGCCCATCCTGGGCTTCCTCAGGGGAAGAAAAAGGCAATCTGCAATACAGTCTACAATTGTATCAAAAGCAATCAGAAATATTTCTATATCATATACATCAAACTACAATATTTGAATTTATATTTCCAAGAATTTAATTGTCTAGAAAATTAGGAGCTCCCCGCTTACCCTTGGGATTATGTTGCCAAAATCATTCATTAAAACAGACAAACAAGTGCTGAATCAAAGGCCCAGGCATCCATGTGATTGCAGAAGGCACATAAAGGACCGAGTTCTACCAAAACAAGATGTACGTATATGACCATCAAAAAAATTTTTACAGAAAAGAAAAAATCACTTACAAGAGAGGGGAAGGGGAGATTATTAACAGCAGAGAATCATTAATGGATGTCATAAGCCTCCCTCATTCACCAAGACTCCATACTATGGAAGAAAAATCCCCAAAAAATTGCTCACAAGGAGAATAAGGAAATATTAAAGGTCATATCAGTGGCTACTGATTCAGTAGAAAGTAGAAATATCAGCCTTACCAAACATTGAATCCATAGAGATGTGAGGGTCAAACACAGAGTCAGTATTTAGGGATCACCCATGTGGCCAAAAGACCATTTCCAATCTAATCAGCCCTTATATACCTTCCACCTGGCCGACATATGACGTCATTGGTCGGGTGTGGAGGTCCGGTGTGTCACTGTGCATGCGTGGATAAAGGCGGCCCAGGATTCCCACACAGCCAAATAGGCTGTGGAATTGCAGAGGTTTGGATGGAAACAATGCCACCAATGGTCGGAAGACCAGCACACCACATAAAAAGAAATCAAGCAGAAGAACAGAATGCCATCTAGTGGCAAAATAAGAGACTAAAGTCACAACAAATTCTGCTATCAATAACCTATAGGTGGTAAAATTCCCACATGATGGTAAAAAACGGGGAATCAATAGGCTCAGATCCACTGGCAGTGCGCATACTGGCGCGGTCTTCAGACTAATCCAAAAAGCTGCGCCCTGGGCGTCCGTACAATCACACCTAAGGATGCCTGTCCAGAACCTGAAAAAAAAAAAAAAAAATATATATATATATATATATATATATATATATATATATATATATATATATTAGCATAGAATTACTTGTCAATCACCAGCTATAGTCTCTACTTTAATAAAATGCTTTTGCAGTTACATATCACCTTCTTTGCCCTGGTCACATCAAGCCCGACTTTGAAATCGTGCAACTTGAAGTCGCACGATTTCAAAGCTGGGTAAGATGCTGATTTCAGGTGTAATTTGCAAGACAACCTGACACAGATGTTTGTGCAAATCGCACCAAAAGTAGTACATGTACTACTTTTACATATCGGTGTGGCTCCGGCCAAGTTGGAACTGCACCGATTTGACTTCTATAATTGCGGACAATAGGGTGCGACTTGGCATATGATTTTCAAGTCGCATGGCATGCAAATCGCATGCCAAGTCGCACCCAATGTGACACGGGTGTTATAGTATGTCCATATTTCCCGGATGCTGTAGGTCGATTTTGCCAGCAGTAGATATGACTAACAACTGTGAGAGTAGAAAGAGGGGGCAATTTAGGTAAGGCTAAAGATTAAATATACAGTGGGGAAAATAATTATTTAATCCCCTGCAGAATTTTAGTGACAAGTATTATTTTCTCTCCAATTTGTTGATTTTCCTCATTGCTAAAACAATTACATTTTGGCTAGACTAGAGAATTTGTGTACCACTGTTTGTTTTATTTTGTTTGTGCAGTCAGCTTTCTCATTGTTTATGCACTAAGAGGTGTCCTTGCCTTTCAGTTTGTTCTGTATACACTTTGCTGAATAAACTGTTGGGGAAAAATATTGTCTCTCCTGGGCACTGAGACCTGAAGATGACCCTGTCATCTTGTCTTGGGGCCTGTTTGGTTTAAAACAAACTTCCATGGTTCAAACCAGGGAAATGATGAATATATATATTTTTTTTTCCATAGAAATTCCAACTGATGGACCACAGGGCCTCAGTGTTGGGGCAATTGTAGGTAAGTGCTGTATTTACATTTACATATATTTTTACATCATAATGCACATTAGGGAAAAATTAATCTGAGATTATTGTTCTGATGATGTGATGTATAACGTATTCAGGGTTTAAGTTTGCTAAAGTTTTTCCCATGTTAAAGGAAGGTCTCCTTGACTAGCACAAATTGAGAAAAAACAGCCATAGGAGGGGTGTAGACACTGTTCAGATTTTTTTGTTTTTTGGGGGTTTTTTTTCACCAGTTCTGCTTGTTCTAAAAACCTGAGTATGTGTGCTGTTTATTTTTATGGGGAAGAAAAGGGAATATGCCTAGACTGTGCCAGCTCATTGTCCTGGGCAAAGTAATAGAGATTAGTCAATATTTCCCAAAACAGCGTATGCCTTTTTCCTCAAAGATTTGTTAGCTAAGAATGACTGGCCATAGACATGAGGATCTATAACCTGATCTGTCCCATAGATATGGCCAAATAGATATCTTGGTAATTAGTTTGCAAGCCAAAGCTGGCTAATCATTATTGTATATACAGTATATCATTTCCTCGAGTACAATAAATTACTCTTTCCTCCAGCACCAACATCTAGCTCTGTAACTAGACCACTTTCTCCTCAATAAGAGATATGACATTGAGGCTTTGTGTATTACTTATAGTGACAGCAAACATTATATCATTTATCATCAGTGTTTTTCGTGTCCTTTCCTATATAGTGGATTGGAATTCAGAAAGGAAATGTTTTTTTCTTATATTTTTATTACAATTTTCTTTACTTAGAGCAGAGTTCCACCCAAAAGGGGAAGTTCCGCTTTAAAGACTGGTCCCCTGCTCCCTATTAAGGATTGGCACCATTGGGGAGCAGGTAACTGAATTTTACAGGTACCCTCTCCCACTTTTGCTGCGATCGCCAATTCGATCCGAAGTGGTAGTTGTCCTCCTACCCTCCCCATAGTCTTCTGGGACGTGTGACAGGTCCCAGAAGACTAGCGGGCCATTGAAGGGCAGTGCTACTCTTGCGCATGTGCAGTGGGCACCCAGCTGTGAGGCCGCAAGCTGTCACAGCCAGGTGCCCACATTGAAGATGCCAGCGCCTGGAACACAGGACAGCCGGTGAAATGAGCTGCGGGGAGGACACCGCAGGATTGTGGGACAGGTGAGTGGCTGTTTTTTAAGTCAGTAGCTTACAGTGTGAGTGGAACTCCGCTTTAAAGTGATTCTAAAGACAAAGTTTTAGTAAGTTAATGCATTATCTTGGCTTCAATTGTGCTTATTATGGAGAAGGGAGTAGAATTAGTAGTAATGTATCATTACTCACTGGTTATGAGATTTTCAGATGAGCTCCATGACAGAGTAAAATTTTATGCTCAATAGTATGTGACATAACTAGGGTTATCAGTAAAAGATACTGAGGTTAATAGGAAAGAAGAGAGAGATTTTATTCTATTTGTACATTTTGCTCCTAGTTAGGAGGGGGTACTATAGTTTCTTTGTCACATCTGTAGCTTAAATCTGGAAATTAAAAAAAAAAAAAAAAAAAAAAGCATTCGCAGACATCACCTTTCCATGTTGTTTTCACAGCACTTGAGCTGGCCATACACTGTTGGTGGTTTTTTTCTGTATATTGACAGTGGCACTCAATTGGTTGCAGCAGCTAATCAACAGAAAAGTTCACAACATGTCCCTTCGACAAAAGTTAATAAAACATTTTGCTACTGTGGTCGGGGGGAGCCCACACACAGATCAACATTTGGCAGGCCCCTGCTGGACCTAACTTCTTATACTTTAAGAACTACATATGCTATCTTTTTAGTTTGCATTGTTATACTTCTGAACTGTACATACACTATATTTTTTATGCAAAACTGGAATATTGTAGAGACATACTGTTAAATAGATATCAAACCTGTAACCATAAAACATATTTTTCTTCTATTTGATATTATTTACATGTCACTGTTAACATTTAACTTTTCATTTTCAATTCTCTTAAGGCATAATTGTTGGAGCAGTTGCAGTTGTTATAGTTGTCTTCTTGCTATACAAATATTGCAGCAAAAAGCAAAAAAGAGGGTGAGGCCATTTTTTTATGTTCCTTTACCTGTACCTATGTTGTCTGTGGAGGAGATCCTTGTCTACATTTCTTGTCATGTTGATGTCATTTAATGCACAGTGTGTACACATCCTAAATGAATTTTGTTAATCAATTCACATATAGTGGACTGCAGTTATGTTTGCAGTACTGCATGGTTTATGCAGCACACTACAATGTTCTGTGTATGTGTTGTCATTCAATTTAAATGGCATCCCAACACATACACAGACATGCACTATTGTGCTATAAAGCAACCCAAAATGCACAATGCATGTTACGGCAAAAAAAGTAAAATAAAGCAAACGTTTATTCAAAATGAAGCATGTTAAAACACATGATAAAATGTTTATTTTTTTTTTCTGCGCATGTGTTACAGCAGTGAAGTATAGTGTGAATGGACTCTTAAAGTGAACCCCTTGCTTTGCACTTGCAAGGCAAAGAAACCAGATCACTTAAAGGATAAGTTCACCTTTCTAAACATGTTATATGTTACACCCGTATTTAGGGTGTAACATGTTCAGCATCTACCACCTCACCCCACGATCCCCCCCCCCTTCCCTGTGACAGTGGGTGAGTGACCTTCTCCCCGTACCCGCTGTCACAATTTGAGAACCGTGCTGCTGTGCAGTGCTCCACCCACACAGCCGCATGCTTCATTCACAGAGTTCTGTGAATGAATGAGCTACAGCTACTGTCGGCCATTGCGGCTGACGACTTGTAGTTCTCAGTGAACTATGGGGGCATTGGTGAGTGATTTTAAAGACAAAAATAATAAATGCACATTTTGTTTGCAGATTAAAAAAATGTGCATTTTATTATTATTTGTTGCAGGAGCCTGGAAAGAATTACACCAGCGATCAGCAGATTGCTGGTGCCATGCTGGTCTCCTGCAGACCTGTCAGTATATCTGCTTGCCCATACGGAATTTACGGGCAAGCAGATAAACTGACAGGAAGAATCTATGAACTACCACAGTGCTCACAGCCCCATGGTAGTTCATTGAGAACTACAAGTCGACAGCAGGGTCTCCCTGTCCCTTTTGTATCTTGTCACAATCTCCCCGTCCATTTGTGTCCCCAGCAGATTGTCCTTGTCCATTTGTGTCCCCAGCAGATTATCCCTGTCCATTTGTGTCCCCAGCAGATTATCCCTGTCCATTTGTGTCCCCAGCAGATTATCCCTGTCCATTTGTGTCCCCAGCAGATTATCCCTGTCCATTTGTGTCCCCAGCAGATTATCCCTGTCCATTTGTGTCCCCAGTAGATTATCCCTGTCCATTTGTGTCCCCAGCAGAGTTGTCCTGTCCACTTGTGTTTTCAGCACTGTCACCCTTCTACACTTGTGTCCCCATGAGATCTTTCCTGTCCATCTGTGTCCCCATGAGATCCTTCCTGTCCATCTCTGTGCCCATCAGATTTTTTCCTGTCCACTTGGGTCCCCAGCAGAATCTTCCATTCCACTTGGGTCCCCAGCAGAATCTTCCAGTCCACTTGGGTCCCCAGCAGATTATCCCTGTCCATTTGTGTCCCCAGGAGAGTATCCTTGTACACTTGTGTCCCCAGGAAAGTCACCTTGTCCACTTGTGTCCCCATCAGAGTCTTCCTGTCAATATCAGATTATTCCTGTTAATCTGGGTCCCCAGCAGAATCTTCTAGTCCACTTGTGTCCCCAGCAGATTATCCCTGTCCATTTGTGTCACCAGGAGAGTTGTCCTGTCTACTTGTGTCCCCAGCAGAGTCTCCTTGTACATTTGTGTCCCATGAGATCCTTCCTGTCATCTGTGTCCCCATCAGATTCTTCCTATCCACTTGTGTCACCAGCAGAATCTTTCAGTCCATGTGTGTCCTCTGCAGAGTCTCCCTGTGCACTTGGGTCCCCGGCAGAGTCTCCCTGTGCACTTGGGTCCCCGGCAGAGTCTCCCTGTGCACTTGGGTCCCCGGCAGAGTCACCCTGTCCACGTGGGCCCCCCGGCAGAGTCACCCTGTCCACGTGGGCCCCCGGCAGTCACCCTGTCCACGTGGGCCCCCCCCCCCGGCAGAGTCTCCCTGTCCACGTGGGCCCCCCGGCAGAGTCTCCCTGTCCACGTGGGCCCCCCGGCAGAGTCTCCCTGTCCACGTGGGCCCCCCGGCAGAGTCTCCCTGTCCACGTGGGCCCCCCCGGCAGAGTCTCCCTGTCCACGTGGGCCCCCCGGCAGAGTCTCCCTGTCCACGGGGGCCCCCCGGCAGAGTCTCCCTGTCCACGGGGGCCCCCCGGCAGAGTCTCCCTGTCCACGGGGGCCCCCCGGCAGAGTCTCCCTGTCCACGGGGGCCCCCCGGCAGAGTCTCCCTGTCCACGGGGGCCCCCCGGCAGAGTCTCCCTGTCCACGGGGGCCCCCCGGCAGAGTCTCCCTGTCCACGGGGGCCCCCCGGCAGAGTCTCCCTGTCCACGGGGGCCCCCCGGCAGAGTCTCCCCTGTCCACGGGGGCCCCCCCCGGCAGAGTCTCCCTGTCCACGGGGGCCCCCCGGCAGAGTCTCCCTGTCCACGGGGGCCCCCCGGCAGAGTCTCCCTGTCCACGGGGGCCCCCCGGCAGAGTCTCCCTGTCCACGGGGGCCCCCCGGCAGAGTCTCCCTGTCCACGGGGGCCCCCCGGCAGAGTCTCCCTGTCCACGGGGGCCCCCCGGCAGAGTCTCCCTGTCCACGGGGGCCCCCCGGCAGAGTCTCCCTGTCCACGGGGGCCCCCCGGGGGCAGAGTCACCCTGTCCACGTGGGCCCCCGGCAGAGTCACCCTGTCCACGTGGGCCCCCATTCTTTTCACCCTGTCCACGTGGGCCCCCATTCGTTTCACCCTGTCCACTTGTGTTCCCAGCAGAGTCTCCATGTACATTTATGCCTACTTCACATTTTCCCCTTACTTCAATATGCCTTTCCGCTAATTCTGCATACAGTGTTCAGCTGAAGACTTGCTATACCTCTCGGCTCCTTTCCCTCTTTTGCACAGGCACGCTGTATGTGGAATTACAGCGGTAAAAGACACTGACAATAACAGCAGGCCAGGAGCTGGGAGGTCGTGTAAACTCTCCAGCGCCTCAAGGGAGCCAATGTCAGGGGAAGGCTAGGGGATCAGATGCATAAATAGCTTATGGATAACGTTCTGGAGATGCAGCCCTCCTCAGATGGGGAGATCAACAAACTGGAAGAAAGCATACAGGTGACGCAAACACCTAGTGCATTATCCAAGGTTTATTGGATAAAGTATAAAGGACAAAAAATATACTCACAAACATAGCATGTATGTAAAGCCTATAAGGCCATAGAAATAGCCACAAGGATGGCAGAGTGTCCGACTGATGGTGCAGTCAGCCTCTGACGCATTTCAGGGACAAATCCCTTTCCTCAGAGCTATGGCCAGCCTGAATTCAGGCCTAGCTTTATATTTCTGCGGCCAATGCTGCCTATAGCGAAGCCCCTCCCCTCAAGCCCAAAAGAGGAGGTGATCATGGGAGTTAATACAACCGTATATGTGGAAAATAACTAAATGGTACAGATATATGTTAAAAAATCCAAAATTCAATATTATAAACATAAATATAATGGTAAAGTAATGAACACCTGTATACCTCGCAAGAAGATAAAAACAATTTAGGTGTAAAATGGAGAGCTGTAGGTAGTGTAAGAAACAACAGCATACTGTCACAGTACCTCAAAACGAGACCCACATCTTTGTTTTTAAAAAGTCATGGAAAGCGGAGTTGGTTTGTACACATCAAGACTGGAGGAATGACAAAAAAATTGAACTAAGATGGCCGCTGGAACGCACGCCAGCGTGGTTGTGCGTTCCAAAGCCGACAAAATTGCATTATCATCTCTAAGACTCATTTTAAAGCCTTGGCAGGCAACTCTTATTTGTACGCCAACAGCCACCACCATCCAAGATGGATCCAAAATGTACCTTTTGGGGCAATTTTGTCGGCTCAAGAGAACCTGCATGTGTCTTGAGGACTATGATGCACAGAGCACCAGCCTCAGGAAGAAGTTCTTAGAGAAAGGGTATGCTGTAGCAACCATTGAACAAGTATATGTAAAGTATAGGGCTAAGTATTCGACTGGCACTCATTTGGTAGCCACCTGTGAAGTAAAGAGAGAACAGCAGGCAAAACTGCATTGCTTTTTGTGCTCGATACAACCCTAAAGCTTTCCATATTAAAAGGGTCCTTAAAAAGTATTGGAGTATTTTACACCAGGACCCCTTTCTTACCAATGTCATCTTGGAAAATCTGGAGGTAATCTTTAGGAAACACAAAGATTACAGGAGCTTCATAGCAACTAATTGGGTCAAATGTGTCCAGACACCTTTGGAGCAGCACCCTATTCGATCAAAAAGACAGCTACAGATGTGGAATAAGTAACTGTGGATGTTGCCAATTTATGTGGCATAGGAATAAAAGTAATGGGTAATGATGGTATTTCCTATAGGTCAAACAATTTATTAATTGTAGCTCACAATACCTTGTATATTGTGTCCTTTGCCCTTGCTGCCTCTTGTATGTGGGCCGTATTGCGTATCAGATTTGAAGAGCATTAGAGAAACATTAAACATGGTCGTGGGGGGCATTCTATTCCCAACAATTTTAAAGAAAAACATGATAATCCAGTGGGTCTCAGGGTTTTTGGCCTAGAAAGCATTCCCAGAGACATTGATATTGGTAGAAGATTTTGCAGATTATGTCCGAGACACCTTTTGGATTCACCGTCTGGGGACTTTGTCACCTAGAGGGCTTAATGGATGGTTAGATGTAAATGCTCTGATCTATTGATAATACACTGGTTCCTCCACAAATTGGTGGTCTCCATTCAATATCTGTCACTTGTTCATCTCCATCTTGATATGCATTTATCAGTATTATGTTATTAATTTTATGAATTATATATACATCTATTTTCATATATAATTTTTGTTTTCAACATTACTGTGTATATTTATTATCACATCCCCCCCCTCC